TCCCCCCGGCGGCCTCCCCCTCCGCCCTCCACTCCTCTTCACTCACCGCACGAACCCTCACATACTCCCGTGGGTTGGCACTATCTCTAAACCTACTATACTACTCCCGTGGGTTGGCCGTGTGGGCACTGCTTCTCTAAATAGCTTCTTTTTAACCCATCGATCCCTGCCAACCCAGTTTCACAGAGGAGTCTTTAACCTTCTCCTCAACCTGGCTCTCCCTTGTGCTTCTCTCTCTACATCTCTTTCTCTCTCTCTAATAATCCACCCACATGCCCCACATGCCCCCAGCTTTTTCCCTTTACACAACACCACTCCCTACGCACTACCATCTTCTTATTCTTTCTTTCTTTTCTTTTTATTTTTCTTTCACTTTCACATGCCCCAAAATCTTTCCCTTTCACAACCAAACAAAACAAAATGGTGGTCGTCCTCTGACCTTCTCTCCCTCTCTCGGCAGCTTTCACAAATAAACAAATACAATAAAATAACACTACAATAAAATAACCAATACCCACACTGATATACACACTGCTCCACCATGCACACCGCACATGCATACACCAGCACAGACATTCTTTTTTTTTTTATTTTAATGTTGACGTCCACTACATTTTGTTTCTCAAATAAAGAAAGTATATGCTTCCACACAACACCATCATCACCTTTTTCACCGCCCAAATTTTCTTTTTTATTTTCCCATTTAATTGATGCTCTATTTTTTATCACCATCACCATCTCCATATTTTTTTTTTTATTTTATTATTCGGAATAACATTATGTATGTAGTATGCGACATTATGTAGTGGCATAATTTTTGTTTTTATGCATTTTTATTTCTGTATTGTTATGAATGGAACAACATTATGAATTTTTATTATTTGTCAACTTTTATTTATGTATGTATTTATATTATAAATTTAATTTTTGGATTTTTTTATAGTTATTTTTCATTTAATACAGGTTATTTTTATTTTTTTAATAATTTTCCAGCAGGTTTTTTTTTTTTTTTTTAATTTTTTGAGACGGCATAATAAGCCGTCGCAAAAACATTTTTGGAGGCTTTTGCGACGGCAGACATCCTGTCGCAAAAGCTAGTAATTTAATTTAAACTAAAACCTTTAGCGACGGCTCAGCTTACCGTCGGCAATAGTATAGGCTACCACACTTTTAGCGACGGCTTTTTGCCGTCTCAAAAACCTTTTTTAGCGACGGAAATACTTAGCCGTCGCAAAAAGTCAGATTTTCTTGCGTTATTGGCGACAGAAAATTACCGTCGCAAAAAAGACATCCTCCCGTCGCAAAAAACAATGGCGACGGCACCTACCGTCGCTAAATCCCTTTTGCAACCCCTCCTGTCGCGACCCCCCTTTGCCGTCGCTAAAAGCCAACTTACCGTCGCAAAAGGTATTGGCGACGGCTAACGGACCATTTGCGACGGCGTTTTGCCGTCGCAAAAAACACGTTTTCCTGTAGTGTATTCACCACCCTTGTAACTTCCGAAATATTTTTATGTATGTGAACACCCTCAGATATTGGAAACATAACAATTCCTTTATTTGAATTTGTATGAATAAAATATTTAGTGTCAAATCATTTATTATTTGAAGTTATGATAATATTGTCAAATAAATCATAATTCTAAAATTAATACAAATAATAATTATTACTTTATTCTTCTGTGACAACATTATTATTCGCTATTATAGTTTCCTGTAATAAATCTCCATAATGCCGTCCAAATTTTGAGACATGACTATCCCGTCATCTAATTGGATAAAAAAATAAACAATATAAGTATCGGAAATTATAATTTTAAAAAATCATAAGTATAAAATCTATATATATGTTAGTGTTTACCTTATTGTAGGATAATATTATTATTCATTACCATTGCGACTTCTGAAGTATCGTTATGTATCTAAACACCCTCAGATATCGGGAATATAACAATTCCTTTATTTAGATTTACATGAATAAAATAATTAGTATAAAATCATTACTTTTTTGAAGTTATAAGAATATTGTTAAATAAATCATAATTGTAAAATTAATATAAATAATATTTCGTACCTTCTTCCTCAGTTTTGGGAGGCATGACTATTATATCATATAATTTTCATGAAAAATATAAACAATATAATTATTAGCATTCGTTATGAAAGTAGCAGATATTAGTATTTACAAGTTATAATATAAAAGAATCATAATTAAAAAATATTATTACTTGAGGTTCTTACTATTTTTTACATTAGTATTATTTGTCAATGTAGTGACTCTTGAAACGTTTTGGTAGAAGTGAACACCCTCTGATCCCTCTGATGTGGAAGGCATAAGAACTCCTGTATTTTAAATTGCAGCAAAATATATATATATATATATATATATATATATTTGGTATAAAAACTAATAAGAAATCAATATATATGAAAATGATAATACTTCAAAGCTTACTTGTGACATTCTGAACATTCGTTCTATAATGCAATTGTTTGTCACGTATAACACATACTTTTAATCGACGTGCTTCTTTTTTAAGTTGTCTCAATTTATCCTTGAATATGGGATCATCATGATCAGTCTGGTGTGAAATGAGTAATTTTTTTTTTTCAAGATAGTCGATTGATTTTGGCAGTAACTGTATCACGTTCCATCCTGTAAAAACATAGAGATTGTCACAACGCAAACAAAATTTTTTCCTCATCATGTGATCGAAATGGAGTGTAAAAAAACACAATCAGTTAAAAAAATTCACCGTGTGATCAAAATTGAGTGTAAAAAAATACAGTCACATTTTTTTTCATATTAAAAAAAAAAAGCGATGAAGTCAATTAGTAGTTAAAAAGCACAATTATTATTTTTTTTTTCAAAAAATACAGTTAGTTAAAATCCTAATCACAAATTAAGTCAATTGACAATTAATAAAACACAATCGTTTATTTTTTCAAAAAACACAGTGAGTTAAAAAAAAAAAACCAAATTATAATTTTTTTTTCAAGACAAAATACAATCTAATTATCATTAATAGTAATGAATACAATCCATTTTTGTTTCAAAAAACGCAACGATTGTCACAATCCAAACAAATTTTTTTTCTCTTCATGTGATCAAAATAGTGTGTAAAAAAACACAATCAGTTAAAAAATGTGATCAAAACGGAGTGTGAAAAACACAATAATATTTTTGCTCATAATAAAAAAATATAAAAAAGCAATGCAATCAATTGATAGTTAAAAAACACAATATTTTTTTTTTTCAAAAAATACACTGAGTTAAACAAACCAAATTATAAATTTTGTTTTGCTAGACAAAATACAATCATTTACAATCATTTTTTTTTCCTTTAAAAAACACAGTGAAAAAATCAAATCACAAATTAAGTCAATTGATAGTTAAAAAACACAATAATTTTTTTTAAAAAACACCGTAAGTTAAAAAATCAAATTATAAATTTTTTGTTGCTAGACAAAATAAAAATCACAATTTTTTTTTTTTTTTTTTTAGTGTAGATATGCCGAACCAATGGAAAGAATGATTGAGTATTTGAGTTTAAATTTGGTTGTTTTACAATTGTTATGCTATCTTTGTGACGGTTCATGTTTATCTAACTACAATCACATTTTTCGCATAAGAAAAAAAATAAATGAAAAAAACAAGAACTATTGAACTAACGACAATACAATTACATTAAAAAAAAAAAAAAATTGAACTAATTACAATCATATTAAAAAATCAAATTATAAATTTTTTTTTTGCTAGACAAAACACAAACCACTACTTTTTTTTTTTTTTTAAATATAGATATGCCGAACACTTGAAAAGAATGGTTGAGTATTTAGATTTAAGTTGGATTGTTTAACAGTTGTTATGTTATCTTTGTAACTGTTTATGTTTATCTAACTATAATCACATTTTTCTCATAATAAAAATAAATAGATGAAAAAAAACTTTTAAAAAATAAATGAAAAGATTACTTACAAGCTTTCAAACTTCCTTTTCATCTTTATTTGTCATGACTTGGTTTGTCTTTCTAGTATAAAACATACGTGAAGAATTATGTGTTATAGATAGAAGTGCTACCGGTAAAAGTGGAAAAGGTTGCAATAAGTATGGAAGAAGTTAAAAGTGAAGAATTATGTGATAGAAGTGAAAAGGCTGCAATAAATATGAGAGAAGTTGAAAAAGATGTGTATGAGAGAAGTTGAAAAAAATGTGTATGAGAGAAGTCAAAAATGCTTAAGCCTCCGTTTGGGAAGTGAGTTGGCTTTTTAACTTTTTGGCTATTTTAGCCTGAGCTTAAAAGCTTGGTTTGGGAAGGACTTTTTGACTTGTTGGCTTTTTTGAGTTTTTTTGTGAGAGAAGAATGTAATGATTATGGGTTGGATGTGATGTTTTGTTTGTTATGGCTAAAATAGCCTATTTTGTTTTTTGTGGTTAAAATAGCCAAAAAAGCCTGCAAACCCACTTGCCAAACATGGGCTAAGAGAAATCAATAAGTGCTGAACTTTTTTTTTTTTTAACCAAAAAATTAAAAAATTAAGATTGAAATATTGAAACTTTCATAAAATTTGTGAGTTAAAAATTCCTTTTTTCTTATATAATATATAAGATATAGATTTAGATGAGCTACATATTTAGGCCAAGTTTGGCATGATTGAAAAAAGATAAAAAGTCAAAAAGTCACTATCCTATTTAAGTCATATCATCTTATTTAAGTTACATCACCTCTCTAGCACATCACTTCAAACCCAATCCAAACCCAACTTATATTTCATAAAAAGTCAAAAAATACACTTATTTAGTCTTCCCAAACTAGGCCTTATTTCCAAATTCAAATGAAAGGCAATCCGTACATGGATCCCAAAGCGAAAAAAATTAAAGGCTAGAAAATGCTGGCCATTAATTAAGATACAAATTTATGTTTCATTTAGAAAGAGTGATTTACAAATAAAAATAATGGGTATTTTGGTTTTGAAATAAAACAACCATAAGTAATCACATATGAAATCAAGTTCAGCCAAAACTCATAAAACTAACCGTGGATACATTTTCAAATTAAGATAAATTGTTTCTATAACTGAATTAATCTCAAACAAAATTTTAATTTACAATAAATAAACAGTTTATTTTACGGCACTATGTATGACTAAGCTAAATTTGAATCAAGGAGTTCGCGACCACGATTTGTGCATCATGCAGTAACCATAAGGAGCAGACGAGAATCACAACCATCGGAGTCAAATTCTGACCCCCAAAAAATCTGAAATAGCGTCAACCACCAACCATGGACTGGACTAGTCACCATCATCAAAATCAGATTCTGATATAATAAAAAATAAAAAATAAAAAAATTGAGTTCTGATGATACACCATTTTCACAATTAGTCAGCTAAAAAAATGGTTGGCTATCATCAATCTATGTCTTTCTTGAGCTCATCTCGATCAAAGTCATAGAAAAAGAAAAAAGAAAAAAGAAAAAGAAGTCTTATAATATTGAACATCAAAAGCAATGTAATTCTAGCAATTGTCGGTGCATTACTTGGTATTTCCTCCTCCCTTCTTTCGTGTGTGCGCACATGCGAGCATGGGGAATTGCAGTTACAAACTCCTTAGCACAGAGGGAGAATTCATGCAGAAAATCATGTAATCTAGCACGGTGAGGAGGAGGGTGCACAGGGGTATAAATCCCCAAAAGCAATATTGATTAATTGAACTTGGGGCAAAGCACTCTTTACAGGGTATCAACAAATTTTCTTTTGGGATAAATCAAAAGCAATTAAATTGGAGGGAGTTATTTTCTCACTAATAAGCTTGTGAACACGAAAGACTGGCATGTCTTCTAAAAATTGCAATAACACAATTTCGCATTTACAATAGCAAAATAGAGTTACAGATACAGAGTGGAGAATAATATTTACAAACACGACATAGGAATCATGCTTTTTGTTGAAATCTCAAATGCAGAAAGCTCCTGTCTCTTTATTGATTCATTAAAAAAAATGTGTGGCTTCATATCAGATGCACAATTAAGCTAACAATAAACTGATCCTTTCCTACCTCTTCTACAACTACACATACATGATTAGTCTACACAAGCAACAATGGAAGTAAACAACGATTACCGACATGATTAGTCTACACAAGCAACAACGGAAGTAAACAACGATTACCTACATGATTAGTCTACACAAGCAACAACGGAGTAAACAGCAGTTACCTCCCTCCGCTTTTATCCCATTAGCTTCAAGCCACAACCAGGTCAGAGAGCCTCTGAAAAACGTAAATCTGCTGGTCCTGGACCTAAAATCCCTTTCTGCTCAGTTATCTTGCTCAGTGCAAGTGATGGCGGCTCTGTTTGTCCATTCTTCTCATCATCTCTCCAAACACTACCTTGCCACTCTCTCTACAACATCAAAATCAACAAAGAAATGAGAAGGGGTTAAACTTCAACATCAAATTTCAATTGAATATTGTCTTGTGAAGGAACGATTTTGCTACCACATGGAGAAAGTGGATCATGACAATTGTATACCAATTATGCTGTATTTATTAATATGGTGCACCATAAACTTCTTGTGCTGCTAGCATTTCTTATCATTGAGGATTTAAAATGGTAGTTAAGTCACATAGAGGTCATAGAGGCAATATTGTAGGTGTACTAGAAAACTTTTGGTTGGTCAATGTATCATGAAAGTGATACTTAACCCTTCTTCATTGTATGAAGTTCACAAAATTTTTGAACATTGTGCTCTGTTTGGAATCAGTGATAGGAAATTAGAAGGAAAGGTAGGAGGGACTAGGACGGGTATCCCTACAAAAAAGACATGCATATGCCCAACCGAGATGATTAGAAGCAACGGATTACTGTTTGATTTTGCCACTATACCCTTCTATTAAACAAAAGGGTGTTATTTTGAGGGCAAAACCATAAAAGTAGCTTTCCTTCCTTGTCCATGTTTCTACCCATTTTTTAGTGGACAAAAAAATGTCGAGCCAGTGAGAAATCTTCCTCCTTTTGTTTCTCTTTCAGTTTTACTGTTTTACTTAGAGGATAATTAATTGGTTATGAGAAAGCTATGCCTCTATGCATTATGGCACGCTCACATCATAGCCTTCCTATTAATGTTAAGACTTGCCTCATCATGATTATGACTCCCATCTTGCAGTAAAGGAGTCATGAGAGGGGGAGCAATATCTGGATCCGGCTTTTGAAACACAAATGTGGTATAAAGACCTGCAAAAACAAAAATACCACAGGAACGACAACTTAAGAATTAAATGGTGACATGTTCAAGTTTGATGGAATTATGCATGTACAAAAGATGGCGAGGGGCATCACCTAACACATCATATGATCTAGGAAGAAGTCTTCCTCTGGGATCCACAAGACTGGGACCAGCATCAAGTAGCATGCCTGCAAACTGTGCTCTTTCGAGCCAAGTAAATGAGGGTAAAAAAGTCAGCAACTTCTAACTTACATAATGTTAGGAAAAGGTAATGTGTGTTGAATAGCTTAATATACATTATTGGGCCCATTTCTTAACAGCTTAAACTTTTGAGACAATTGGTGATCTAACATGGTATTATATTAGGGCACAGTTTGAGAGAGGTCTTGGGTCGAAGTCTTTCTGTTGGCATTTGGTATTTAGTCCCTATTTGGTTTCTTTTTTCTTTTTTTTTTTTTTTTGTTTGATCAGCAACAGAAAAATTTTATTGACAAGAAAGCACTGTTTGGTTTCTTCTTTAGTTGTCTGCTTATCTTTCTGTTTGGTTTCTTCTTGTTGTTTGATTCTCTTTTTGTTCGGTTCTCTGTTTACATCTCAACGTGCGAGATGGAAGGGTGTTGAATAGCTTGATATACATTGTTGTTGGGCCAATTTCCTAACCGCTTCAACTTTTGGGATAATTGGTGATCAAACAATGTGGTCCTTAATAGTAAGTCTAGTGCAAGAGCCCTTGATGCTTCTGGGGACACTATAGTTTCCAGTTTCAGCACATTTGACTAGTAAAAGTAAAATCGATTAATGAAGCTTGCAGTCACTTCTTTAGTTGACCAGGCTAGTTTTCAGTTACAGGGAATACGAGTTGCTAAGGCACAAAACTATAGTAAAGGGATTAGGACGAAAGCATGAAACAGAAGTAGACAACACCTTGTAAGGACTAAAGAAAAGCCAGATGATTTCCAAGTGGATAGAAGAACCGTTTACCTGTTGTCATCATAAAACTCAGTTAAGTTTTGTATCTCCACATACTCAAGACCAGCCTCCCTCGCCAACCTGGAAAACATATTATGATCATTAATTATCAGATCTTTCAAAGGTCAGAATAACACTAATAAACATACAGACAGGGGTATTATTTCAACGCCAAGAATTCCACATTTGGAGCCCCTATAAGCATTCAACTTTGGAAACATTGGAAGAGAAATTAACTAAATAGCAAGGAAGCTTGACTTAAGGCCTCCAAATGGTATGGCCCTAACCGGATGTGGCCATCAATGATATTGATACATTAAAAATGTACGTTAGAAGATAGAAATATGACCTGATCAAACTAGGGAAGTGAACCAAGCAATGGGTTTCAGCAGAAATGTCACTAGCAAATTTCAACTGGTATTTCTTTCCAAAAAACGGGAACCTGGAAAGAATCACACATTTGATGTGAGCAAGTTAAACAAGTGTTGGTCAACTTTTTTAAGAAAACCAAGCAAGCTAATGAGCTCAATCTCATATACTTCTCTTCCTCGACTTCAAAAGTGATCATATAGCTTTCTGATCTAATGCAATTTGGGACGAGGTTGGGCTTCATGCTACTGCTCTTGTTGTGGTATGCTTCCACATTTTTCTGGTACTTTGCCCTGCAAATTGGAAAACACAGTTTCACAAAGCATGAATGAAATGGTAAATTACTGACAACAGAAACTTGCACTCTTATCAAAAAAGGAAAGTATACATTTTTTCATTAAACCTTGTTTCATACAGCTATCATGACAAGATAGGAAAAATTCCAATGTCAAGAAAAAGATCGAGAGGAGTGTTAGAATTTACCTACACCTACCACCACCTACTACCTACACCTACCACCAATTTACCCTCACCTACTCCTCACCTACTACCCAAACCCTCTCCTATATAATGAGCTACTCTGATTTGTAATAACACACATCAATCAAAACATCAATCAATAATACAGCATTTTTTTAACATGGTATCAGAGCAAGGTTAAAGATCTTGGTGTTCTTCGCCTTCCGGTGGGCGGCAACCTTGCCTTGACCGCCCGCCGGATCTCAACCAATTCAACTGCCTCGCTTCCCTCATCAACTGAGAGCCACCTCCTTCCCAACACCCTGCAAATCCACATTCACCCTCCACATTTCTCTCTCCTCCTAATCCGTATCTACCCATTGTATAAAAAATCCAACATTCACCCTCCCCCAGTCGGCCCAACACCATTTCCGGCCACCCGACAGAGGCGAGGACTACACGATCCTCCAAGCGCTGTTCAGCATCGACATGCTGGTCCTCTTCGTCGCCACAACCTGCGGCGTCGGAGGGACTTTAACCGCCATAGACAACCTGGGCCAGATCGGCACTTCTCTCGGATACCCAACTCGGAGCATCCGCATATTCATCTCTCTCGTCCGCATATGGAATTATCTCGGCCGAGTCGTAGCCGGTTTTGCTTCCGACATCGTCTTACCAACATACCCATTCCCTCGACCTCTTATGTTCACTCTCATCCTTCTCCTCTCTTGCGTCGGCCACCGTAATGACCAGAACTCGCCACTGGGGAGTGTGCTCGAGGGAGTGCCTCTGCTTTGTTGGCCATACTTTGTGGCTCCACAGATTAATAATAGATTTGTTGGGTTACCTTTCTTTTCTTTTACTCTCTCTCTCTTTGTTTATTAGAGTCTACACAAAACCTCTTTTATTTTGTCAGCCTCTCCTTTTCCACCCACGTTTTCCTTACTTTACACCCCACCCTCCTTTATTTGTCAGACTACACATCCCTCACACTATGCTATTGCCCAAACCCATCATTTCTTCCACTAGAGTCTATAGAATATATATATATATATATTTTTTTTTATTCCAAAAAAAAAAAAACAAAAAAGGACGAATGAAGAAGCGGAAGAACTGCACACCAACTTTATTTTATTCATGTCGGGGTTCACCCCGATCACCATTTTACAAAAAAAAAAAAAAACAAAAAAAACAAAAAAAAAAAAAACCAAAAAAAAAAAGCAAAAAAAAAAAAAAAAAAAAAAAAAAAAAAAAAAAATGCAAAAAAAGAAGAGAAAAAGAAATGAACACACCACCGTGACTGTTTGCTTTATAATAATATGTATATATATATATAGAGAGAGAGAGAGAGAGAGAGAGGAGCTCACAATGCAGGGATCAAGTTCAAAGAACTCAGAAGTGTAAGCCTTCCGTTGACTTTCCCATGCTTCCTGAACTTGACTAATTCCAGATTGCGCAACATCTACCAACATTTCCATCAACAACAGTTCAGCATTGATCAAAGAGAGTGGGTATAGAGAAAAAGTAAATAGAGAAAACAAAAACCCACAAAAAGAAAACACATAAATCGAACAAAAAATTGAACCCTTTTCTATCTTATCAAAAATTGAACCACAATTTGAATTTGAAATTGAAATTGAAATAGTGATAGTATATACCAATGGCGATGTAGTGGCCGATTTGAGCTTCGTCCCATTTCTCTTCATCAGGTACACCACCGCAATTTTTTTTTTATTTTTATGTATTTTCTTGTTTTGTTCCTCTCTCCAAACTCAAGTTGGTTAGTTTCTATCCTCCTTGAGTTTGCGGGGGGCTGTTAGAATTTACCTACACCTACCACCACCTACTACCTACACCTACCACCAATTTACCCTCACCTACTCCCCACCTACTACCCAAACCCTCTCCTATATAATGAGCTACTCTGATTTGTAATAACACACATCAATCAAAACATCAATCAATAATACAGCATTTTTTTAACAAGGAGGTAAAAGATATCATTTGCAAATCATGTCATACCATATAGTAGATGAGTCAGGACAAATACCAAAGAAATAGCCCCCTGGTTTTAGCAATAATGACACATTATGTAAAAGTCTCCTTGCTTTCTCCTCAGTTTCAAAACACAACTGCAAGTAGACATAAAGTTTAAAATTTCATTTTTTCTTAAAAGAAATATAAGGAAGAAACACTAAAAAGAAAGTGCACTCGGAACCTGCAAATGTTGCATGCAGCAAACAATGTCAGCCATATTGCCCTTGTCCTGCAAGCGCGATTCCATATCCTCCTGCAAAAATTATAAATTGTGAAGTACAGAAGAAAAAATTATAGAAATCGAACTTAAAACACAGTTAGTAATTTTAAATCTGTATTAACCAGCAGAAGAATCATTAAATGCAGCTACCAAAATACTTGGGGAAGTCTAAATCATTGCATAAGGTGCGCCGAAAAATAACCAAGATATCCTAGATCTCTAATAAATGCTCATCTAATTAACAGATAAAAATCACACCAGAATCCATGCAAACACATCTGATACCACTGACTGTAAGCAATAAGCTGGGTTCATAAGATCTCAAGGGTAGTTCACTAAAATAATTTTGCTTGCCTAACTCAATATGCAAGATGTAACTCAAGCACTTTATTTGGTTGTGTATAATGTTTGGGCCTAGCTCAATGGCTATGGTTTTAATTCATTCAGACTCCAACCCTATTTACTTTGCATTTATATTATGACTAAAATGCCTCTGCTCTTGTCAACAACCAAAAAATTAATGATAATGCCAACAAGTGTAATTTCATCTGATTGTTATTTTGAGCATATTTTGATCTTCAAATGATGAACAAGACCAAGTGGCCACTTTTTTTTAGGGGAGAGAGAGAGAGAAAAAAAAAAAAAAAACTGTGAAACTTCATCTCATTGCTATGAAATGTCAGTAATTTATGCACGCGACATATATATACCAGTGGTGGGTGTAAACCCGATGCATTTGTAATGCTACATCTAAGTTTTTTAATGATTTGATGAATGAAGAAGATGTGTTGAAATTGATAACTAGTTTTTGAGGCAGTTAACAATATGGGTATTTAAAAGAATTAACAATTACAAAGTTTCGAAAACTTCAGACTCAGTGTTCTTAATATAATAGAGTATACAGTATATATATTAGTGATGTTGGCACACAGTACTTGTGGGAGAGTGAAACAAATTTTTTTGATCAGCGAAAGAGTGAAACAATTAGATTGACAATTACGAATTGAAACAATTAAATAAGGTCAGAAACTGCTCCAAGTAGTTACAGCATGAGCCGGCTTGGTCCACACCACCGTGACTGTTTGCTTTATAATAATATGTATATATATATATAGAGAGAGAGAGAGAGAGAGAGAGGAGCTCACAATGCAGGGATCAAGTTCAAAGAACTCAGAAGTGTAAGCCTTCCGTTGACTTTCCCATGCTTCCTGAACTTGACTAATTCCAGATTGCGCAACATCTACCAACATTTCCATCAACAACAGTTCAGCATTGATCAAAGAGAGTGGGTATAGAGAAAAAGTAAATAGAGAAAACAAAAACCCACAAAAAGAAAACACATAAATCGAACAAAAAATTGAACCCTTTTCTATCTTATCAAAAATTGAACCACAATTTGAATTTGAAATTGAAATTGAAATAGTGATAGTATATACCAATGGCGATGTAGTGGCCGATTTGAGCTTCGTCCCATTTCTCTTCATCAGGTACACCACCGCAATACAAATCACACACCTTCACAGCAAATCACAACCACACAATTCACTCTCATCCAACACATATACAATACATATACATATATATATATATATGAGAGAGAGAGAGAGAGAGAGAGAGAATAGGGCACAGACAGTGGCGTAAGGCGAGACGAAAATCTTGATGAGAGCAGTTTTAGCGAACTCGAAGAGTCGGTGGTGAGTCGACTCGGTCGGCTTGGGAACGGGTATGGCACTGATCATGTCTTCGCTCGCTCTTTAAACCCTACCCGGTTTTTGCCAAAACCCCCCCTCCCTCTGTAGAGAGAGAAAAATTACAAGTAAATTTGGAGGGACTGTTTGGCTAATCTGAATTTCGTTCAAAAAAGGTTTTAATAATCTGATTTTTTTTTTATCCTCCCCCTCCTCCTCATCTGGAAAAAAAAAAATTTAATTCCGTTTAATTCAACTTCTTTCAACTAGATGAAAGTTTATTCAAAATTTTACTCAAAATTATCGATATATATTATAAATTCATAAAATTATCAATATATATTCTAAATTCATTTATATTACAATACAGTAATTCAATTTCCACCAAATGCTTAACTTATGAGCAAAAATCGACCCTATTTTAGTTGGATAACCAAAATTACTGTATTAGAGTTAAGAATTTTTTTTTTTGTTTTTCATTAATCATATCATTTTTTTATCTTATTAGAAGAGAAATCAATATAATTAAGTAAAAAATACAGAGCTAATTGTAGTTTTTTCAAGTCTTAAGAGAGTTGAGTATAATTTATCTTAAGAAAAATGATATAACAGTCCCTCTCATATCTTTTTTAATTATCAACTAATTATATCATTTACACATTTTGAGCCTATAAAATGAATTTAAAAAATAGATTTATATATCATTTTTCTTAAAATAATAGACAGATGTTGAAATAAACAAAAAAAACTATATATTTTAATAAGAAAAGATATTACAATATTATATATTTATTTATAGGATTAACAAATTATTGATGAAAATTATTTAACTGTAATGTAATTAAAATCAAATTGTATTTTTTTTAAATATCAAAAGAGGTGGGTATAATTTATCATTTTTTATTAAATTTTTGTTGTTTCTCATATACTAAAAAAAATGAAAAATAATTTTTTTTATCAATAAAACCGAACTTCCATCAAAATTTTTGTTTTTTTAAATTATTTTCAAAATCAAAGAGAGGAAAGTCATTTTATTTCTCAATTTTCTTCATTCTTTTGTGCAAAAACCGAATTAGAGACTTTCCTCAAGAAAGAACAAAAAAAAAACAAAAAAAATTCTCTTCTACATGTACCAAACACAACATTAGAGAGAGAGAGGAGAGAGAAAATATGGGCGGCAGGGAAGAGGCATTGGTTGCAGCGGCGCTACGAGTGCTGAACACTGCGGACCCAGTTGAGAAAGCCCGACTCGGTGACGAAGTAGCAACGAAATGGCTACAAGGTCTCATCACCCAACCCTACGACCCTTCCCTAGACGTCACTGTACCTGATCGCCCCTCCAGACTCACCAATGTAAAAGCTGTGATTTATTCATACTTCAATTCCCATTCCATGTGTTCGATAAAATGTCTCAATGAAACTCATATATGTCTGTAATACCCAGAATGAAATTTCAATACTTGTGTAAGTATATAATGTATGTGGGTAATTTACAGGTGAAGCTGGTGCCACCCAGTCTGATGCCAAAGCTTGGGAAAGCAGGTAGCTTGCAGAGCAGACAGGCCATTGTGCATAGTCTTGTTCATACTGAAAGCTGGGCTATTGACTTGTCTTGGGTATATCCCTTTTAACTTATTTCTATCACTATCAAAATTCCCTACAAGACAATCAGATTGTGTCACAATGGCTATATGAAATGAAGTACCTTTTTGAAATTGATGGAATGCTATTGGACATATATTGATTTGAAATGAGGCCAAGAATCCTTTGTATATTGTTTATGATAAATTCAGCTGAACATTTTTAATTTTTTAAGTATTTTTTGGAGTCCATTGCCCAAATCCAGTTTTGTCATTTAGCAGTATTTAGAGCCATGTGGTTTGTTAAGTTGAGGGTTGTTAGAGCATATCCAATGATTAATGCCAAAACGATAATGTCAAGGTCAAATTTTGACATTCTACAGTGCCAAAATGCTATTCAATGGTGCAGATGCCATTTCTTTTATTTTTCTCGCAAAATGACAAATAAAATGCTATTTGTGGATCCTATTGTGAAAGAAGTGGAAAGAAAGATCTTTGTGAAATTTTGGCAATTGCCAAACCTAGTGCCAAATTTAGCATAAGATTTGGGAATGTTATAATTTAGCGTGTGAGGAACGACACATCATTGGAGGTGGGTTTTGGAGAGATGTTGCCAAATTTTGGATTTGGCTAGTGTTTTAAAGCACACCATTGGAGATGCTCTTGTCTGTTTCTTCTGATTGCCTCACCAATGTTGTTTTGGCCATCTTTTTGTGTTTTTCTAGTACCTGTAGTTTGATATACTTACTACAGTCACTGCTACAATTGCTGCTATGCTTTGCAGATAACTACTTTGTTATACGAACACATTTAGTGTTATTCTATTTTGTCTTATATTGCTTTTTTCCCATCACAAAATTCTTATTGCTGTCTTCAATTACTTTCAGGATATAATTGCTCGTTTTGGCAAGCAAGAGGCTATGCCAACGGAATTCTTCACTGACTTTGTGAAGGTAGCTCAAGAAGAAGGTCGACACTTCAGCCTCCTTGCAGCACGACTTGAGGAGATGGGTTCCTTCTATGGAGCATTGCCTGCTCATGATGGTCTCTGGGACTCCGCCACTTCCACTTCCAAGGACTTGTTAGCACGTCTGGCAGTTGAACATTGTGTTCATGAGGTGGGCTTAAGTTTCTTTAAATTTGCTGCTGATTTGGTTTAGATAAAGAAGTGAATAGATATTATATGGATATGAGATCATTCCAGGTTACAATCAGTAGCATTTGAATGCATAGATTAAATGCAATATCAAGTGCATACTGCCTTTCACTGGTGTAGTTAAATAAAAATTTGTCAATAGAAACAATGGTTAAATTTTTGTTAAAAACAATGATGAATTGTTGAAATCTATGTTACACAGACTCTTCTATTTCCTAGATAGTACCCGTGTCCACTGGATGGGACAAGGGTAAGGGTGTGGGATATGTGTCCAACACCTGTACTTAATTTAGACAATTGAATCTTCTAATTTTTTACGACGTTTGAAGAGGAAGAAACTCACATTTGCTAATAAATAAATATTTCTAGCCTCTCATATGGATAAGAGATAGAAATTCTATATTTTTCTTAAGTCCTATTTAATTTCAAGGACATTTCTACATAATTTACAACATCTTGTCTAAGAATATGATATAAATATGCAATATATATGTGTCCATGACGAGTCTTCATAGCCATATCTAACTTTTTGAATACATATCCTAATATTCTAACTTCTAAGGTTTAAGTCTATGAAAGTGTGATGCTTGGATACACACCCACAACTGATACTCATACCCAAGTCCATTGTAACATAGGTTGAAATGACATCTTCTGAACTCCAAGGAGTCATTTTCTTCATGCTTTGGAGTTGCATGGTTTTTAAGATCAAGAAAAACAAAGACAATACTCAAAAAATGCTATGTTTGATAACCTTGAACATTTATTTTCATTTAGTATTGAATTTGATGACTTCACAGAGTATAAACACAGGCTAGAGGGCTCGACGTGCTGCCCACAACAATCTCTCGTTTCCGCAATGGAGGCGATAACCGAACAGCTGATCTACTGGAGACGGTGGTTTACCCGGAAGAGATTACCCATTGTGCTGCTGGAGTAAAATGGTTCAAGTATCTTTGCTTGAGATCTAGAGATCTAGTTTCAGGTGGTGACGCCAGATCCTCTCAAGAAGTTGGAGATAGGGAAAGTGATGCCATGATGGAAGAGAATGATGTGGTGATTCGCAAGTTTCACGCAACTGTGAGAATGTACTTCAGGGGGCCACTGAAGCCTCCCTTTAACGAGGCAGCTAGAAAAGCTGCTGGTTTTGGCCCCCAATGGTATGAGCCTCTTGCGACCAAAGAGGGCTATGTAGAATGATAAAGCAAATCGATTCTAGATACCAAGAGCTTGGATTGATGATAAAGTTCTTATGTTTTCCTGTGCTCTTAACTAGGGAAAAATTTGTCTGCATTTTGATTATTATTATTATTATTATTTAAACACTGTTAATTTTCTACATAGTTCCTTCTATCTGTATTTTTGTTGGCCTTTACTACCAAGTAGGTCGTGTCGTGGTGTGCATTTTCCTTGGTTTTTGGCAGGGAACAGAAAGTTTTGATATGCTTGGTTCAATGTGGCACATGAATTCTCAAGATGTGAAGTTTGTTAACCCAAAATTTATAAGAATTATCAAATGCTTTTAGGGCCTCATTCCATGTCTCACTGAATTTGAATGCTCCATTATGTTTTGTATGGATTTTGAAGGTAATTTGTTCATCATCCAATGTATTGAGTCTCACAGAGTGGTTTTCTCTCGCTATCTCATTATAAGTAGAATTATCATTCATGATTGACTAAAACATAATATATAACAAGGTTCAATACAAAATTAAGAGACATTTATTTTAATTAAAGAGACATGACTCTTTATTTTAAAATTAGAAATTTAATTTCCAACATATCCCCATCTTGTAGAGAACCCATATAGATTGTGATGTTATTACATTTGAGAAGCATGTCCTGGTAGAATTTTGACAAATTGAGAGCTGCAAGAGGCCCAAATACAACAATCAAGTTCTGATCTGTTGCCCCAGCCAAGTCTGATAGTCCTCTGATCACAATCACAGGGAACCCATTTGACAAGCTTGTCTGTCAATCACAAATCTATGAATTAGTTTATGTTTGAGAAACTAGGTGAGAAAGAAAAGAAATGAATATCGTTTACCAAGATGAAGCTTGTGTCTTTTTATTTTCTTTACTTTGTGTTTAAAATGGATAAAATAATTACTCAATTTTTTCACTCACAAAAGAGCGAAAACTACCCTACTTTCCCACCACATCAGAGAAACTTACCATGTCTATAGCTGAGCTCTCCATATCAAGAGATGAAAAGTTTTAAAGAGGAAAGCCCTACAAGCGGCATTATCCACACAAGTGTTGGGAGTTGAGCCCTTGAGTCCAAGCACTAGTTTTGGCTTTTTTGGAAGGCACTCACTTGAGTTCAGACATTGTTCCAGTTCCATTCCCTGCAATTTCAAAGCTCACAACTTGTGAAAAGTATAAGAAAAACAAAAACAAAGATTTATGATATGCAAATAGAAGCTCCCAAAATATAGCGATAGGGTCTGTTTGGTGCAACTTATTGTAAACTGAAGGTTGATAATCAAAAAATAAAAGCTAACAGCACCTGTCCCTCAACTTCTAGATAATTAGCTTTTTTTCAACTTGTTCAAGTTGTTTCTGCCTAATAAGTTGTAGGTAGAAGCCGCACCAAACAACGCAATAAAGGGAAATGGACTTGGCATTGGGGCTTTCCTCTAAGTTGGAAGCAAATTTAAGCAAATTGGAGTTTATCTCAGCCCAAAGCAATGATTGAGGATTGTTTGGCTTCCCTGATTCTGAGAAGAATTGCTCTGTGCTATATCCCATGCGACCCAACTCATTATTTACTTCTCCTTCTCCTTTTGCTTCTCCTTTTGGTAGATTATAGTTTCCAAACTCCAAGTGACCTTTATCACTAGTTCCCAGTGTTCCATTGGGTTTCTGTCCACAATCATCAAGCTTTCATTCAGTGCTTAAAACACAAAATTAAAAATAAATAAATTATACTTAAAAAAACTAGTGTAGTTTATTAAAAAAGTAAAAGAGTACCAACCAATCCCACAAGCCACAGTTAAAATATTGCTTAGGAATGGTGACATCTCCAATGGACTTGGAATTGTTGGCATTTCCAGCAATGCGAAAATGTACTACTCTTATTATCTTAAACACATCCAACATTTGCTGTGCTGCCGCTGCTGCAGCAGCATTCACCTGTTCAATCACACTCTCTCATTCATTTAAGTTGTTATATATATATGCTAGTCATGTCTAGAATGAATCTTATCTACATATTTCAATTCATAATAAAATTTTGATTTTTTTTGTTTTTTATTTTTTTGAATAGAGCATACCAATCCAATTCCCCATCTCACATAGATGACACTCTTCCCACGCACCTTTCCAACCCTGAATCTTCTACCTGCAAAACCCAACAAATTAGTTTAGCTATGAATTGTTCTAGTTGATCATGGCATGACTTTTCATGGGTTCGAACTTTAATGCTGTGTTTGGTTGGAGGATTTGGGAAGGAATTTAGAAAATGAATGGGAAAAGGTGTGCGAAACTAGGTGAAATATAGATATGTTTTATTCACATTTCACCTACCTTTTTCATTTCCCTTTCCAAATTCCCCAACCAAACACAGCATAACAGATGGAAATGGTTAAAATTTCCGTTTTCAGCTTCTCTTGAGTTCACACACTCACCACTTAAAAGAAACTCACTCACTATTCCTAAGTTGTGTTTGGATAATAGATTTGGAAAAACAGAAAGGGTATCCAAATCTGTGTTAGAGTTCCACTGTGACATATGCACATGGTATTCCCGACCAATGAAGCCATACAAAAGAAGATGAATGGAGCCGACCTTGTCACCAAACCAAACAAGGTGTGCCAAGTTAGCTCCACTTATTTTATTACTAGTGCATTTACTGGTTTGGGAGTATTACATTAGCCTGCTGAGTTAGTACTCCGACTTGGCATAAAAATTACCTGGTATATGTAGGATCCAGAAATTAGTTGGGAATCAACAAATAAAAAAATAAAAAAAAAATTTGATGGGGAAGAGTGAGTGTGTACCAGAGACATCAACAGAAGGGTGAATTGGATCAGGCCTAAGGCGCTAGTTGCAAAGAAGGCATCTTCTTCAGGTTGATAGACAGCGAAGATATGGGCATTTCCTATTCACTCCCTTCATAGCTTCCATAGATTTCCACCCTTTCAATGTTGTTTTTGTGGCTAACACACAAGAAAACTGTGCGTGTCAATTTCCAACCACACTGCCAATCAAGCACTCAGCTGGAGAACACTGGCAGAATAGATTAAGCCCGAGCGACCTGTCACAAAAAGAAGAGATTCCGGTGGTGGTTCGTCCACCCGGGGACACTCCGACGATCAAGTCAGTTATCTCTCAAAGATAACAAAAGTGCTTAACTCACTATTCAGATCATAAAAAACATACCTTAGACCCATGAGGGTGCCTCTCTTTTATAGCCAACACTTACTTAATCCCAATAGAAACCTAGTTTCAATGGACTTAGGATTACTGCTAATCTTGGACTCCTAGTAGAATTGGGATAAACTCTCTAAGAGTCTTATCTTTACCTAAACTGAAGTCCTCTCTCATTCTAGGACCCTTGTCCCTCATTCGTTTATCCCGGATTTCGTTATCTTCGCAGATAACCTCAGCCTAGTTGAGATCATCTCGGCGTCATGACCAAGACACGTGACACCTCGGCTGGCACTTCGGTGCCACCTTGGCCACGTGTTGTCATTCAAAAATTATGTCCCCACAACTGCCCCCTAGGTTCTATTACCTCGACATCCTGAGGTAATGGAACCTATATCATTCGTTTCATTTAGCACATCGGCTAAGTTCGCTTTATCCTTCATTACCGAGGTCATCATTCGTCGGCTCAAATATGACCAAGACTTAGTCTGTTTTCATCGATGCCTTAGAACCAAAAAACCAAGTTTTGTTCAAGTTTCACAACTGAGATCGTCCTCCTAGCCGAGGTCCTGCTCCATTAAATTAAGAACTCCAAGAGTTTCATCACGCGTATGAGCTGTCACGCACAACAACTCAACCGTTTTTGCCATGCATCTTTCCTCTACTGAGTCGTACCTGACACGCGCTGTCAAGTCCCCTTGCGTCTGTGTGCGCTGTCTGACAAGCACGTCATCCAATGCTATTCATTGCAGTTTTGCCGCCATTTCATGGTTTTGATCAAAACCACTTCTCTCTCTCTGTCTCTTCACTTTTGTATCTTCGTTCTCGTGGAAACTCTCTCTCTCTAACTTTCTCAAATCCGCCAATGTTCCAAGCTCTTCAAGCTCTGCAATCACCACCGTTCACCTCATCCGGCGAGGCTCTTGCTAATCTTTTCCGTTTGCTGCCATCATCTGACTCCGGCGTACTCAACACCGGCTTCATTTGCCTTCGGTGAGTCACTGTTTCTCTCTGATTTAACTTCTTGTTTCAGTTTCTTATTTCTCTTCAATGAACTCCACTGCTCATGTATTTGTATCTTGAGTTCTACCATGTATTGAACATGTTTGTTCTATGATTCTATTTGTGCCCAATCCATTCTTGACTATACACACACTGCTCACAAATTTATTGATTTTCTGCCACTGTTCTTGGCCTTACACATCTGCACAAACTTTGCCACTGTGCTTTTGGTGGTTGATCACGATTCCTGATTTTGAATCACTGTTCTTGTTTTGTGTTTTCTCCAGATTCTTGCCTTTAATCTTCGTTTCCATAGATCTAGGTTTGGGATTTGTTTGTAGAACCCACGATTTTTAGGAAAACTGAAACATACTCCCCGTAGATCTTTACAAACTCTTGCCCCAGCATACCTCTAGGTTTTAGCCGAGGTCATCCAAACCTTCACAGAACACTTCTTCTTGAAATCATACACCCTCCCCTTAAGCTGACATCATGGGTATGTGGAGGCACATGGTAGACACCCCAACTAAGTTAGAGTACTTCAGGCAGGAGTTTGACATCCCGGCCGACGTTCACCTGAGGTTGGCTGGGGAGGACGACTCCATCATGCCTGATGGAAACCTCATGCCTTTCCCTGTCGTTGCCTCTACAAAATGTGGACTTAGGTTTCCACTAGACATCCTTTTCCAAGAAGTCCTCCATTATTACAAATTGAACCCAATGCAGCTTGCCATTAACTCTTACCGAGTTATCAATGGTATAATTTCCTTAGCCAAAAAAGAAAAAGCCAGGATTACCCTTGCCGACATCCAGTATTGCTACACCATGTGTGGCCTTAAGTTAGAAAAAAGGCTACATTTACTATCTTAAACCGAGGTCCACAGAATATAAGCTTGTTGCCGATCTCCCAAACTCCAACAAGGGAGCCGGGGACAATTACTTCATTGTCTCGGGCAATTGGGAGTTCGCTCTAGATGAAGACCTTCACCTCTACCCTCTTAGCCGAACAGTATTCGTAGAGGGTAATGGTAAGAACCAAGTGTTACACAGACTTATTTTTCAAGTCGTTTAAAACTTTATTCTTTCTGTATGTTCTAACGTCTGTGTTCTTTCATGCAGCTCTTCCATAGCCACCAAAGGACTTCCGTAAGTCCTTTTTC